ACTATAAAACTTGCACTTAGCATTCTGAGAAAATCGTTGTTTTCCTTGAAATTTATTGTGAAATAATTTGAATAATTTTAGTAATCATATTTGCATTCTGGAAAATAGCATATTGTAATATTGACTGTCTAATGAAAATTACAACATTATTCCAAAATACAATTAGAAGATCTTAAATAGAAGCCACATAATTTTAACGAAATAAAATGCATTTTTATTTAAAAGTAAAATGGCACATTAATTATTAAATATGTATTCATGTACTTATTTATGTATATTAATATATTTCATTAGCATTATGGTGCTCCATATTATCCAGCATTTTTCTTGACTTTTGCACAGAACATAATTCCATAAATCAGTTCCACAATGCAAAAATAGCATAAAGTATTGTGTAATTGATTAATGGAATTTTGTGTTTTGCCTCTTCTGTTTCTTTGTACTGGAAAATCAGGTTGATTGTGTATCTCTGTAATGTTAAGTTGGGTAATTTGAGCATTTTTCTTTTGAACATTATTTGTCTGCTTGCTTGTTTTGTCACTTGGGTATCTATTTAGGTATTCTGTGCGTGACTGAGCAGGCAATTCCCATCATGAGTAACTGAAGGTCCTTCCAGTTCATCCCTGTTTATAGGCCTATGGTCCAAGGACCATGCAGATGAGTAAGAGTTCAGTGTGAGTCATTGCATGCATGTCATGGGGAACTGAATCTGAAATATTTTCCTGATTCCTCATTTTTTTCCGTGTGTCTGCGCTGAGCTGGTCACAAAAGCACACATATCTGAGCATCTTAATGTCATGTTCATCTGTGCCATAGTTACAAACACAATACTGGCAAAAGTATTGGGACACCCCTCCAAATCATTGAATTTGGGTTTTTCAATCACTTCCATAGCCACAGGTGTATAACATCAAGCACCTAGGCATGCAGATGGTCTACAAACAACTGTCTGCAGAGTCAATAGCTACAGACCTCCAACAAACACACATGTGTGGTGCAGTGGTTTAAAGCTCACTGCCATTAGACTCTAAAGCAGTGGAGACGTGTTGTCTGGAGTGACGGATCACATTTCTCTGTCTGGCGATCTGATGGACAAATCTGGGTTTGGCGGTTGCCTGGTGAATGGTATTTGCCTGACTGCAAAGTTTGGTGGAGGGGGGATTATGGTATGGGATTGTTTTTCAGGGGTTGGGCTTGGCCCCTTAGTTCCAGTGAAAGGGGACTCTTAATGCTGCAGCATTCAAAGCCATTTTGGACAATTTCGTGCTCCCAACTTTGTGGGAACAGATTGGGGATGGCTCCTTCCTGTTCAAACATGACTGGATACCAGTGCACAAAGCAAGGTCCGTAAGGACATGGATGAGCGAGTCTGGTGTGGAGGAACTTGATTGGCCTGCACAGAGCCCTGACCTCAACCCAACAGAACACCTTTGGGCTGAATTAGAGTGGAGACTGCGAGCCAGACCTTCTCATCCAACATCTCGTCCAACATCTCTCCTGGAAGAATGGTCAAAAAATCCCATAGACACACTCCTAAACCTTGTGGACAGCCTTCCCAGAAGAGTGGCAGTTGTTCTAGCTGCAAAGGGTGGGCCAGCTCCATATTAAAGCCTACAGTATGTATTAAGAATGGGATGGATGGCATTAAAGTTCATGTGTTTTAAGGCTGGTGTCCCAATAATTTTGACAATATACTGTAGTGAATGAGGTTCTGTGTGTTGGAGCGCGATATGTGTGACAAATGTTACATTCACATGTCATTAAGAGGCTGGCCAGATATTTCACAAATTGCCCTGGAGGAGTGTAATTATTGCTCTGGGACCCTAGAGCAGCAGGGTAGCACTGTGGCGTCACACCACTAGGGTAGGGGGTTCAAATCACACCCCCAGGTCTGCGTGTGAAGTTTGCATGTTCTCCCCATATTCGTGTGACTTTCCTCCAAAACACGCATTTAGGGCAACTGCCATCTCTAAACAGCTCAAAAAGTGTGTGTACCTACTGTATGTAAATGGCAAAAATTAGGATTTACATTGCTTTTAAAATCATGTTAAAATTAGGCAGCACTGTACAGGAACTGTATTGCAGCGAAGCTGCAACGCAGGTCAGAGGTGAGACGTTCAACTTTGTCTCCCGTTTGAGAACGTTTGCCCTGTGATGGATGGCATCCAGTCCAGGGTGGCCAGTGATTCCTGGGATGGTCTCACCATGTCTGAATTAGCAATATGCAAAATGGATGGATGTAATTCACTAGTGTGGCTTTGACGTTTTTTTTATATTGCACGCAATAACCTCACAGAAAATTCAGTTTGAAGGTTCGCTGATAAAATTGCATTCCTACAGTACGTAGTTTTAATTCAGTCTGTCTCACTGAAAAAATTTAACGGAAGAAGAACGGATCGGCTTGCCATTTTAATGTGATAATGATTTCTTTGGCCAGACATACATTTGCAGATTGTAAATGGAGATTTTTTCACTGCTATTAGGTAGCAAATAACTGGCTCAGTGAATAGCACTGCAGCCTGCTGTACAGTGTTGGGGTTTTACGTGTTCTCCTTGAGGTTCCCTCGTGGCTCGGTGGTTAGCACTGGTCGCCTGACTCTGCTAGGGTGACGGTTTGAATGTCATCTATGTGGTGTGTAGAGTTTGCATCTGCTCCCACTGTTGTAGGGGTTTTTCCTGAAGTGCAAAGACATACCCTTTGGTTTACCCTGGTCGCTCCATGCATGTCTGCATGCCCTAGGATGGACCAACACACTTAATTTTCCGTCCACAATCCAAAGACACGTGCCTCTAAATCGCTTCCATTTTCTGCATGTTTGTGGGCAGTGATGGACTGGCATCCTGTTCAGTAGGTTTCTTACCATGTGACCTATGCTGCCTGGGATTGGTGGCACATGACACTGTGACGGATAAGTGGTTTGAAGCTAAATGGATAAGAATTATAAATAAGAAGTTTACTATAAATACAGTTTGAGCTTTTATACTGATACGTCTTTTCAGTGTCCATATGTGTGTTTGTTAATGTTGTTCTTCTGAAGACAGCATTTTATAATTTTATATCTGACCAAACTACCTATTGCAATGGACCCATTCTTGTTTACTGCAAATCTAATTGTGCACTCTTTGGTTTAAAAGTGGTTTAGCTGCATGAGTGCATTACAAAAATTCCTTAATGCAGAGTGAAACTGAAAATTTCTCTTTCAACAAATTTGGACTTTGACTGGAAAATATGTTTAATTTTCAACTTTGGGAAAGTGTGAAATGGATTTTTATGAAAATTTTTGTCTTCAGAAAAGGTCAAAATACAAAAAAGAAAAGTAGTAACCATTTTTTGAGCATCAATCATAATGAATTTGAATAATTGGATTGAAAACAACATGCAGTGTCAGCTTTTGGGCTACAGGTCTGATACAACATTCACAGTATGACCTCTGAAGATGTTTTTATTAAAGTGACCATTTAGGAAGCGTCTAGATGAACATTGGTGAATATGATTATGAAAAAGAGGCTTGAGTTCTTATCCTCATGCATAAAGTCATTATAAGTAAAAAAAATATAAAAAATACAGCACTTTGCAAGAGTCTTTCGCGCTTATCTGGGTGGTAAGTGCACGTTTGCTCAGAACAAAAAATATTTAGCAGTAGAATAGATGCTTCAGGACTGCATGGTGGTGCAGTGGTTAGCACTGTTGCCTCTGGGACCTGGGTTCGAGTCTCTGTCACGGCTCCATTCGTGTGGAGTCTCCATGTTTCCGCTATGTTGTTGTGGGGGTTAATCTGACTCCTCCAGTCTCCCCTCCCCCCACAGTCTATAGCTATGCTGAGATGAATTGGAGATACCAAATCACTCATAGGTGTGTGTGGTGCCCCGCAATGGGTTGGCACCCGATCTGGGGTTGTTCCCTGCCTTCTGTCTGCAGTCTCTGCAATAGGCTCCAGGCACCCCCCTCCCCCCAAGCCTTTATATGATAAGCAGTGACAGAAGTTGCATATGTCTAGTTGGACGGCTAGATGAACACCGCTTCAGTTCCCAAACCTCTCCTCTGGGACACCTCAGCTCTTCCATGTCTTGCTTAAATTTCACTACCAGCCCACTTAATAAATTAAATAACTCAATGAGGTATTGATTAGCTATAAGCATCATTTTCCTTGCCTGCCTAAGGCTTTTGCACAGTACTATATATGCCCTACAGTGTCGTGCTGCTTTTATTTTTATATTTTTATCAGTTAGTACTGTAACTGTGTAGCTGTGAGGCCTATTCAACACATTCGCTGGCCCAGTCGAGCTGTAGAGATTCAATTTTTGCACACGTCCCTCATAATGATATGAATCGCGTGCTTTAGCCGAATGTGTGAAGCTGCCCAAAAACCCAGAAGTGAGACTAGATGGCACTGGTGGGTGTAAGGAAGCGAAGTTAAGGGACACTTATTGTAAAAGGGCGGGAGATTATGAGAAATTAACACACAGAATAGCTGCAGTATTGACATGATTGATAGGTATCATTGATCTGCTTGAATTCAAACACACCTCAGTAAATTCTGTATTCCAGTTGTATCTTATTTTCCTATTTGTGAGTAAGTCACAAGTTTTACAACCTTTTTATCATAGTCAGTCATAAACTTTTCATAATATTATGGCTCTTTATGTACTATTCAGCTTTTCTTAACATGGATCTTTCTTTGCCATGTTTCTGTTGAATATGGTTCAATTAATAATTGCTTTTTTTTAAGCCCTTGGGAAACTTAGTTTTTCAAAATGACAAAGAGTATGATTTTTGTGAAATGCTATTTCGAACTTGAAAGTATAGTTAAATTTAAAAAAACAAAAATTAAACAAAACCTAATTCATGTTATGATGCTTTTCACGTGATTGTAGATAAAAGTCGCCAGAAAGGAGGCATGAAACCACAGCTTCACACAATGCCGGACCGAAACAAGTCTCACCGATTTTAGACCCTCATTTAGACCTCACGAAGATCTATGTGTTGTCTTTCTCAAGCTACCAGTTTTGCACGATTAAGGAACTGTAAAGGATTTCAAGAGAGAATTGGTCATCGAAATGACATTTAATACGTTAATTAAACAGCAAATGAAATCCTGCGTGGTTAAAATTGCTAGACTCACTGCCATTGGCTGGTGTTAGGTGACACAACTCAGGCCCAGCTATATCTGTATGGTCAAATGTTCGCTGGCAGACAAACCCACAAGCAGGAACTTTAAGCGCAGAAAAAGAAGTAAATATTGAAACACTACCTCTGCCCGTGTGTGTTAATAGCACACACACATTCAGACCTTGAGTGTACAATATATGTCATACCAGAAAGAGGTGGGCTGTGGCTCTCTGTTAAGTGAAGACTCTGAGATTGGCACAGAGGACATTTCCTTGGTTATGCAATGGCTTCTGAAAAGTTCTGAGCTGGAAGGAAACCCTTCAAGCAAGGAATATCTGTCAGAGTGGTCTTCATGCAACGGTTCAACAAGATGGAGAGGTACCTCATCTCAACTGTGAGTGCTTTATTACTTTACTCTTTATTTCTCAGGATCTTCATGCTTCTGGGCTACAGAGGGAATTGTGGGTGAGCATGCTAGTTCAGGATGTTTATTCTTTAGTTTCGTCTTCAGATGGATCGCGTTCTAATTTGCGAGATGCGTTTTCAAAAACTGAAAACTGATCTGACATTTTAAATTTACCTCAGTTACGTACAGGCGAGGTGTGTTCCTTTATGCTTGCTGTAACCCCGGAGGAGAGATTATTATTTAATAAGTTAGCAGGAAATAAGTACATTGGTGCTGTACAGATCCCCAGGATGAGTAGTCATGTTGCTTGATATTATACGTGCGTGTTTGTGTTATTAACGCTAAGTATGTAACGTCATCGGCCATGTTTTGCTTAAAAGGTATCGGATGAAATGGTTGCCTATGATCCTGAAATGTACCGTGGACCCATAGAGTATCACCCATATCTTAGCAGTGATGGGGACAGTCATGGAGGTGAGTTTATAAAGCATAATAATATATAACCAGAGGTGGAGATTTTATGTCCAGAGAGTACAAATCCTGACCAAGATTTTGTTTCAACCACCCAGTTGAGTATAAAGAGTCACAGTCACAGAGTACTCAACTGGTTGTTGAAACAAAATCTTGTTCAGGATCTCCACCTCTGTATATAACCATATCAGCATTCTTTTGTTGTAGTATGTAGTTTTATTTTCCCAATCTGGTCTTCGATGACACCCCCCCAGACAGTCCGTGTTTTTGCGTTTTTGGGGGTTTTGACTGATGGGGGGTCCGCGAGTACAGGCCTGGAAAACACTGAATGAAGTAATTATGATTTCTTTAGAATGATTATTTAATTAGGCAACACAAAGTAAGTTTATTCTTATAGCATAATTCAGACGCAAGGTACTCAAAGTACTGTACTCGGAACTGTGGGGGAAACTGTGACAAAGCTTAGCAAATACTAAGCTTAAAATAGTGACCCAAAGACAAAATGAACATTTTGAACTGATTGCACTGATTGGTATTTTGAATGAGATTATAGTGCAGAATAGGGCAAAGCTTTCCCTCTCACATGGACCAGAGCTGGAGCCTCTGGCGTGCAGAATTCTAACATGCATCTAACAACCTGCGATTTAAAAATAGATTAGAATTGGTCTGTATAGAGACAGAATATGATTTTCTCAAGTCACCATTATAGCTTCAAAAACCGCTATCAACATGAATTCATGTGATATCCTCGATTCGAAAGTCATTTTTCAAAATCAGTTTCGGATAGCATTAAACAAATAGTTGTTTTTTTTTTTTAGTGGACTGAACATTGTTGTTCCTTCTGTTGTTAGTGTCTGAGTGCAGGTTTTTCACAACAGCTTCTCCACTTTGTAGACCATGTCTGGGACTACTATGGCCATCCTGTTCACCCCGGGGACTTTGAGAGTTTTACAGAGAACCACTTCACAGAGCTGCAGAATGCCCAGCCCCTACACATCCCCAGCCTGCACCGGGGCAGTGAGATGGATTCACTGCATCCCCTGGACCCGGGACTCAGTGGTCACCATCTGACCATATCTCCACAGGTACGTGTGCTCCCTGCTCATCAGGATGAATGGATAGATGGATGGATCGAAAGATAGACAGGGGGCGGTGTGGGGTTCTGCAGGTTAAGCTGCTGTGCCAGTGATCGGAAGAGAGATTTCACCATCGGGCCCTTGAGCAAGGGCCCCAACTCCCAACTGCTCCAGGGTCTATCTGACCCTGTTTTCTCAAAAATCTGCACAGCGTTAGTAAAAGCATCTGCTAAATAAATGCAATAGATGTAATAATGTAATAAATATGGTAGATAGATCAGGTGTAGACACAACACGAAGCATCCAATAGTGCACTGACAAGATCTATATGACAGCAGTCTAACCGTCTTTCAGATAATTGCTGTATGGAACCTGGAAAAAAATAATCGTTTTTGGATTTTGACAGGTCTCTTACAATAAATTTTATCATACCTCCTCTAATTAATTTACAAACTCACATATTTTTAGTGTCAGATATATCTGTCACCATCTGCTTAAGATAGATATTCAGAGTTTTTGTACTATACTTCACTTTGATATATATTTTTGAATAAATGGAGTATTAGGCACATATATTGCATTCTTTAAAATCTGGGTTTTTAAGTAGCGTTCAAGTAGAAAGATTGATACAAATATGTTGTTTAGGAGTAGTATTTCTAAAAAAAGTGTCAAGATATGAGTGAAGTAGATTGATAGTTGAGGGATGAGTGAGACTTTCCCAATATGGCCTGTTTTTGAGTAAAGGCCAGACAGACATAGTGGGATTGAGAAAACTCACTGCCCACCAGTCTGTGGGTTTGCCTTATTTACTCAATGTAACTGCTTCCTATTGGGACAGAATTGTAGTCAATGGTATAAGGTGGATATCTCACTGTGAATGCTTCCAGTTTTTCAGTCACACTCAGTCAACCCATTAGGCAACATAGGGGGCCACCTAGGACGCCATCTTCTGCCGGGGCCCCGACCGCCGGCACTACCAGGCAAAGTTCACCGCCTGGTTTCCCCCCCATAAGCATCACCGCCTGCAGCGCGAAGAGCACGTTGCATGTACTATAGAGCCTTGTGTGAGGTGCAACTCAGACCAAGTGAAACTGGGTGCTGAAGTGTGTCGGGGGGGGGGGGTCACAGTGGGGAGGGTGAAGCTGGCCTACAGCACCGCACGGGCTTCGGCCAGCCAGTGACTGATCACACTGCTCTGTATTTGGTACACCACTGCAGCTACATGCTGATGGTTGCAATGGAAACAAGCATGACATCCATGCCTGCCGCAAGGGTTTGTTTATACTTTTTTTAAATTTTGACTTCATGGTTTTCCATCTGGGGGTGGCACGATGGTCAACACTGTTGCCTCACACCTCTGGTACCAGGGTTCGAGTCTCCATTAGTCCATGGGTGTGAAGTTTGCATGTTCTCCCCACGTCATTGTCGGTTTCTCTACAAACCTCTGGTTTCCACCCACAATTCAAAAACACGCTGAAGGTAATTGGTGTTCCCAAGTTTCCCGTGGATATGGGTGGTGTGTGAGTGCCCCTTGCCATGGGTTGGTGCCCCATCCTGGGTTGTCCCCTGCCCCAGTCCATATGCTCCAGACCCCCCCATGACCCTGATAAGACAGAGCTAATTTCCAACACACACTTTAGCCGCTGTTAGCTATCCATGCATGGAAACTGTATGCAGTCATCATGGAAGTGCATCTGGGTATATAGGGATCCTACTGGAATTACTAATGTTGTTACATTGTTACAAATACTCTTTGTCTTAATTTGGCAGCCTAGTTATACTGCCTCAGTTTTTAATGTTGCCACATGTTTTTTTTTTATCTCTTTGAGTAAATGCTTGAAAATGACTAGCAATAATCACCATTTTGTGCTAATAACTACTAGCATAAAAACATTCTGTTAAGAAAAAGAACTAGGTTATGCTTAAAAACAATTAATGATAACTACCACAAAAACTATTTCCTTAATGGACTGGTGTTATATTCAAGAAAGTGATGGTTCTCCGATGATTAAAATCAGGGGTTTTAATGAAATTTGGCATTTTCCGAATGTTGACTTGGGTGGGTATTTTTGATTTTCACTTTTTCATGTGCGCCCCCCTCTGGACAACAAGACAGATGACAAGACCAATTAGGTGTGAGGTGATGAGGTATCCAGCAGTCCAGGCCAGTTCCAAGGGAAAGCGCTGCATAATAGCTGAATGGGCAGATATGACCTTGGGTCTGAGGCCTCTTATCCTGAGTGCACTGAAGCTGAACTGACTGTATGTCATGCAGATGAAAGTTTCACAGTTTCAGGGTAAACTCTGTACTGCACACTGTCAGAGAAGACTGGTGTTTGTTACAATTTCTTTACCCTTGTTACAAAATTAGTTTTCACGGCACTTTTTTCACAGACAGAAAAACTAATGAAGGATATTAAGCCACATAGCTGAGCTTAGAGATGGACCGTGAATATCTTAAAGTATCTTTGCCCTGGTAATCATTCATTGGAATGTACAAGTATTGGTAGCGTTTGATTTTCAAAATATGATTGTTGTAAAACGCGTAGTTAATGCCACGTACCGTAGGTGATTTGTGTTGGTACATTGGTCCTTTTTAAAAAAACACAATCCTTCAATGTAGCAGAGCATTTTCAACAGTTTAGTTTTGAAACAAGTGTTACCCACAGGTTTTTTGTATTCTGAGAACAACTTAGTTCCTCTTTCAGAATAAAGTTTGTGGTTTCTCAAATGACAGATTATTTTAAGATCAGCCATTTTGAATCTGCACTCAGTGGTAAACAGAATGGTACTGAAGAAATGGCAAATTTAGTAAAAACATAAACCAGTATAAGCCAATATACAACCCAGGCAATTTTGAGTGAGTAAAACTCTGAAATTAATGTGAAATTGATTAATCGGGGACTGTGAAAGACCTTATACAGACGATAATTCAGGTCAACACGCTCTCCTTTCAGATGCAATACTTCTCCCCCGCCCTCTGCTTTCAACACCCCTCCCCTGCCACACGGAGCTCCGATGAAGAGGAGCCTGGTGTCCATAGCCCCCCTCTGGAGGTGTCAGAGGGAGAGGGGGACCTGGCCCACCACCTCCCCCGTCCCTCTACCATTGAAACCGGTGAGTTCCTGCAACCTGGGAATCATTTTGACAAGCACCGAATAAGTGAGAGTTTGCAGTTCCTGTTCCTTAAATTTAATTTGGTGTGAGCAAGGTAAAACTTGTAAAGTGAAAAGTGACCTTTCCTTTAAACAGAAATAGACATGCTATGCGACTGATCTTCAAGGAATATAGCAACGTCTGAATGTTTGAACATTTTGCCCGACAATAAATGACAATAACTGACACATGCCACTTATTACCCTGCGACCAAAATCTTCGTAGAAACTAAGAAAAGATTTTTTACATCATTGAGGAGGGATTTGCGGATGGGTAAAAAAAAAAATAAGTCCAATATTAGACAAAATGTTAAAAATACGCACTCAAGACCCACCAGGTTAGAAATGTTGCTTTACATCATTGGTCGGGAGAGCAGTTGTCTCAGGAAATATTAAAACAGATTCTGTTTTATTTTAATCTAGGAGGCAAGAGGAAGATCCGTCTATACCAGTTTCTACTGGACTTACTCCGAAACGGGGACATGAAGGACAGCATCTGGTGGGTGGACAAAGAGAAAGGCACTTTTCAGTTCTCCTCCAAGCACAAAGAGGCTCTGGCCAACCGCTGGGGAATGCAGAAGGGGAACCGCAAGAAGATGACCTACCAGAAAATGGCTCGGGCTTTGAGGAACTATGGAAAGACAGGGGAGGTGAAGAAAGTGAAGAAGAAGCTTACGTACCAGTTCAGCGGGGAGGTGATGGGCAGACCACTTTCAGAGAAGAAGATGTATGCATTATCATAGGACAAGGAGGCAAAAAAAATCCATATTTCATATTTCAAAATTTTCATTTTAATGAAGAGTTCCTACGGGATGTATATACGTACATAGGATTATTTTTTTCTGCTGTTGTTCAGTAGATGTTCTTTCTGTGTGTCTTACAGACTGATTTAACGAGGAGCATTAGCCTTGATATGTTTTTATGGACAATGTACATTTCAAAGTTTCAAAGGGCAGATGATGAAATCTACCATTGTTCTCATAAATGGGAAGTGAAAGTTATTTTTAAAAAATGGCACAAACCAGCACCAGCTTACTGTACACATCTTAAAATATTACGTAAAATGGCCAGATTAACAGTATTTATTAAGAGTAATATATTACTCTCAAGGCCCTTGGGAGGGTCCCTTTTTGCTGTGTTCCAGTTGTCCTCCAAATCAGCAAAGCTAATCTGTGAGAAACAGATTCAAAGCTGTGAAAACAGATTTTTAAACTAATCGTAGGGAGCAAGAAGCATCCTGTCCCGGAAAGGCATCATGTTAAGAAGTAGGCTATTGTGGTTGCATGACATATGTTACCGTGATCATGGGGCTGTGCCGTTACTGCAAAATGGCCCAAATATCATTCTGATAAATAAAGTCAATCTGATTTGGTTTCCCTAGTAATTCGATTGTTATGATTAGCAAGTTACTGAATTTTTACTGAGTAACTCAGTTGAATTTTCCCCCTGATACCAAACAGTTTTGTACTTCATTTTAAACACTACTTTCTTCTTCTCGAAAAATGACAGAGGTTCCCAAACTTTTTCTGACTGCAGACCGACACACTTTGGGAAAAATTTTCATGGACCACTAAGACTTTGGTGGGGCAGGGGGTTGGGCTATAACAGTGACCCCCTAGGGGGCTGGTGGTGAAACTTGTCAGTCGGGGAGGAGGACCAACCTTTGGCCCAGATAAATTCAGAAGGCATGAACGTCAGGTGTCGTAAAAAGGGCGTGGCTCAAAATATATACTGTAGATTATTTTTGGAAATAAACCAACCCTTCCCTCAACCACCCTGAGAGCCACTAATCTTTCCATTGTTCACCCAGTACAGGCTCATAGGTAACGCAAATCCACACAACATGGGGAGAACGTGCAAACTCCACACACACAAAGTAGGGGTGCAACTCAAACCTCCAGGCAAGAATGCTACCCACCAAGCCTGCTTCTCCTTGGGCAATGGTGGCTTAATGGTTAGGGAAGCGCCCTTGTAATTGAAAGATTGCAGGTTATAATCCCTGATCGGCAAGGCACCACTGAGGTACTCTGAGCAAGGTGCTGCTCCCCGGGTGCTGAATTAGCTGCCCCCTGCTATGTCACAATGTCACATATGGGTAAATGCAGAGGACACATTTCATTGTTGTGTGTCAACAATGACAATCGCTAAATTCTAGTCATTATTGAAATGTCAAGTATAGCGAAAGACACATTCATTGATTTTATTTGTTTTTTGTACTCAAGCAGTCATTCATTTCAATGGTTCCAAGTCAGACTAGATCTTTAATGCTAAACAGATGGGATCACAATAAGTTTCTTATTCTGACAGCCCCATAAAAGTGATGCTGCAGTCATTCAGGCACTCATCTTGGAAATATGGGGTTTTAATAGGTGTTGCTGGTGATTCCCATTCCATGGTCTGTTTGATATGACTCAAAGCTTCCTGTGAACTTTCTCATTTAAAAGTGTGAATATGAACGTCCACTGCAGGAGGTGAACCATTCCGCAGAAAAACAGATACCCTTAGACCCGATAAAGTAAATGCAAATTAAATTCTGTCCCACAATTTGCCAAGCAAACTGGCAGAAGTCAACCGTCATTAGGGCAGCCTTTTTAGGCCATGCATCTGCTTCGCGTTTGGTCAACACTACAGAGAGGTGACACACCATGTGACAGCTGCCATTTTATCTTGTGACCATAGTATTGCGACTCAGTGTTTCCATAATAGATATGGGAATTTTTTCTGTTCCATCCACCCATCCATCCTCCTTACAACTCATCCTGCTATATATACATATACATACATTTTTTGCAGCATTGTGTCTGTTGACTCTTCCAGGTTTAGCATATAATGCATTTAAGTCTACGTTTAACTACATTTAAGTAGCTGCAATTTCAAATTTAGCTTGGAGAACTCAGTATATGTATACTACGCCTTGAAATGCTTAATGTAATTACAGTTTTTAGAATTTTAGAATATTTGGTGCAATGGTTAGTCTCTTAAAATCACTCTTTATGTATCTACATTGGTTATCATTTGGAGTAATGTATCTTTTAAAAAACACACACATTCCAGACATCATCCTTTGACCCAGCATTGTTTCCTCTTTGACTTGGCATATTAGTCAGCTCAACCCATGACTCGGTTTTCCGAATCGTGTCCCTTCCCTAAAAATATCCCCCATACTTCAGTGACAGGAATCAGAGGGGAGTAAAGCCCTGGGTCAGTATATATTGTGTCTGTGGTATAGGGCCACAGGTCTTCCGGACTGCATGTGGCATATTATTTTTCAAAGTGACTTTTCTGGTGTACAAAGCCTTTTTAAAATTCACATAGTGATCTATTTTTACCTGAAGCATTCCACACTGCAGTGCTTTGAAAAGGTATCTGAAGAGGCATCTAATTGTTTCTTCATCAGCTTTGGCATATTTCTCAAATAGAATGCTAGCAAATTTTCAACTAAAACTTAATGTTTCATAGAAGGATACTTATGGAAACATATTAAAGGTTTTTTTTTCTTCTTATCGAACTTCCTGGGTATACTACAACACACAAAAATATCTGACCAAAGTAAAGGGGGGGATTTTTTTCACAATATTGCTAATGAGGGGTATTTTTACACTAAGTCACACTAGCTTATGGTCTCCCCAGTACTCAAGGACTGAATGTGAGAGCAGAATGGTGTCAGCTTAGGTATAATAAATGTCACTTTATTTTAATATAGCACCTTTCAGTCCACGGTCAGCCCGAGGCACTTGACAAGAGTGTGTGGCGATCCATTACTATGTTATTCATTAAAAAGGGTTACATGTTCCTGTATATTGGCGTATGATTAGTATAACTGAAAGTGAAACAATTGGGAGCGTCTGCGTCAGTATTCACGTGTAACAGCACCACGTCCTACCACAATCCTCACACAGTGCTATGTTGCAAAAGGCGTTAAATGACAGACAGTATTGTAATGGGGTCCTCATGACCTCCTGATGACAGGACTGTTTGGAGCCAAAGAAGAGGGTGTGAAAAGAAACAAATGTCTGCCAAATAGGCGGAGCTAGATGTCTCCATATTTTTACATTTGTTTATTTAGCAGATGCTTTTATGCAAAAAAAGTGTAATTTAAATTTTTTTTTAAAAAAAAGCAGGATCAGCCAATCAGCAACTGGGGAGGTTAAGGGTCTTGCTCAAGGGCTCACCAGTGAAATCACTGTAAAAACCTGTGATTTAAACCCACTGAGCTGGTACATGGACTGAGGGACAGGTCAAGAGGGAGAGTCTTGGGCCTAGTTGTCAGTCAGCGGGGGCAGATGAGACCTCGGTCTGCTGCTGTGAGCAGAAAGGTGGAAAGCCACGTGAAACCCTCCCAGGAATGGTGCGAGAGAGAAGCAGGTGAGCCATCTATCAGAGGAATGGCGTGAGGTGAGTGCTATGTGGGGGGGTCCTGGAGGCTGACGGACGGGGGCACAGGTCAGTGCCACGGACTTGTTATTCACAGGAACTCCGCAGGAGAGTAGGACGTGCTGAAATGTGCCCCCCATGGAGTGAGTCTCACTGCAAGCGCTTGTGCTTTCACTGCCCTCATAGATACACGGCGCTTTGTCTTTGTCCTTCTGATGGCCCAACAGATACAAATTTCCCTGAAAAAGAATTAAAAAAAAAACATGAACAATATTCAGACATGTGATATCCAGTTAAAATGTCATTGTGCCTTTTTGATTGTTAAACTTCTTGTGCAATGATCACATGGTACACCGCATTGTCCTCCACGGCGATATTTCTCAGGCATTAATCATAAATTACCCACGGATTTTTTCTAAAATGTAGCCCTCCGCTTTCCTGAGAATTCAGAAAGATTCCTGGAAATTCCCAACCGGTGGAAGCATTTGTGGAAGTTGCCAGTTATAGCCCAGCTGATAGCAACAACATGGCGGGTGGGGGTGGGGGTGAGGGTGGGGGTGGGGGTGGGGGTCTGTTGCTTTGCATGTCCGTGGTCCGACACACCATCAAGTCTGGGGTGTGTGACTCCCTTTCTAAATTTAACTTTAGCCCAAGCTGTGCTCTGTCAGTTAGGTGATGGTTGTAATGAGAGGGGGGGGGGGGCGCACAGAAATTTACTGGGGTGAAGGGAATGGGAGGGTGCATGCTTGCGTTCGTATCTGAGCCCTGACAAGTGTGGGGTGGGCTGATGATACAGCCTCACTTTGAGAGGAGACTCCGGGGGTCTATTAGAGACACAGAGCAAGTGCTGTAACGCCTGTCCATCGAGACACACGGGATCTCTGTCAGGATGCCAGAGCCTGCTAGAAGAGCAGGTAAGGCCCTTTCAGCTTTACCGGAGCGCGAATGGCACAGACATACTGTAGACATAGGTGTGCGAATGAAGAATCTCAGGCTCACAGATGATATTTATCATGGTGTGAATTTAGGAACTCAGTGGTGATCCTGGCTGTTAAAGGTGTTTCTGTAGCACCGATGGGCTGGGTAGTTATCAGTCCTCTGACACCTGCTAAAGTCATTTACCATAAAATATACATACATTTATTTATTTGATACACGGAGGCATTTCAGATGGTTTTCCTCATTATTACCTGTGATCCTGACCAGAATAAGATGGATGTTTAGATTTTATAATTCGTGTATCTTTGTAAAAAAATGACATAATGCGCTAAATATAATACAATAGCTTTTGTCAGCATATTTAATAATTTTGTGCATTTTACATGTTTATATACATTATCACTGGCTTTCTATTTCATTACACAAATATTGAAGAAGAAATGACACTATTTTACAGACTGGTGGACAGCAGGGGTATTGCATCTCTTGTTAGTCAAGGCGTGGCATTACACTGTTATTAATCAACATTTACGACCATTTCAGAGATATTTCTTCATTCTGTAAAGAAAAACAGAGTATCCAATAATATCAGGCACACAAGCGGATGTGCGCCTAAATTATTTGGTCACGCTTTACATTACCTTCACTTTTGTAATGCATTCACAGAACATTCATAAGCAACATTAACAGCTGTTGTATACAGTAATAACAAACACTGCGCAATTATACGATAACAATGCTTGTTACTATCATATAATGTTTGTCCTCAACAGGTTCTTTAATGGCGCGAGGACTCCACACCTAAACTAAATCTGAGACTTGACAGCTTTTAGACTTAACCTGGTTTTGTAGCCAAAGGACAGATAGAAAACACACAAAGTCAATTACAGAATTGTACCGCTCACCTAATTCATGTGCCACGGACATGGAAGTTCTTGAACTTTACATTTATAATGTCAAAGACCTGAGCATACTTACTGTAAATATCTTGGCATTGATTTCAGTGCTCTAATATTTTAAGGGTCATCTTTTTTTTCATTTTGTTCCAACAGATGAGCTTTCAGCCTGTCGCTCACCGCCTTTTACGTGCACAATGAAAGACGTCACATTACACAGATGCCTCACATTTCTCATATCCCCAGATCAGAAGTACACATAGATGACTGTAAAATGGCCTGCATTCAGTGACGTGTTTACTTACTCACCACCATTAAATTAGCATTACTTAGCATATCGAATATTACTGGGCTATAGTATCCAGCCTTGCCAAGCTTTCCTGCATATTATCTGTAAGGCAACAAATAGCACTTGTCTGACTGGTATTATGGATACATGAGGCCTGGCTTTATAAATGGTGAAGTTTATCGTGAGATGCAGATGTATGCCTCCATGCATTTGTCCATGATTGATAACAAATTGTAGCAAACGACATTATCTAATAGGCGAAGCATCTCCTATTTTACACAGCTATTGAAATGTATCAAACCATTTGCTTCATTTTAGGGACAAAAAATACTATTGGTGTTTACTAGTGTGAGCAAAGTAGGAAATAACTCAGGATGGGTCACTAATAATAAAGAACGTAAGCCTCTGAGTTCGGACCCGATTATGGCTTATATGATTGTGATACTCGCTCGATCAGAATGCATTTTTAATCTCCCCGCCGTTTCAGCTTCTGCTTTCACAAAAAAACCGAAGACGGCAGAGACCGCCGCGGGCGGAGCCGTCGTTTTTGAGGCAGAGACCGAAAAGGTGGATGTGAAGCTGCGCTGGCAGCGGGGGTCTGCTGACATCACGGCCAGCGAGAAGTATGTGGTCACTGCCGACGGGAGTAAACACTCACTCACCGTCAGAAATGTCACCAAGGAGGACGACGGCATCTACGCTGTGATCGCCGGCACATCCAAGGTCAAATTTGAGCTGAAGGTGAAAGAAGGTATAGCTGCATGTCTGACTTTCTGAGTGCCTGCACAAAGTATATAGTAGAGCTAACCATGAATCTTGTTTATATATTATTTCATTTAAAAAAGACAAATAATAATAATAAACTTCAAAAAGTGATCAATGTTTAACAAATGTTAATGTGGGAGACATTTATTAAAACAATTTCAATGCAATACATCCCTATACATTTATTCATTAAGTAACAAACAATAGTTTTCAGTGAGAATAATCACAAACTAGCTTGAAATAATCCATCCTGTAATCTAGGTTATTTAGGTTATCACGATGGATGGAGGAATTTGGTTATAATCAATAATCATTCTATGAAAGACTAAATTTCACAATATTAAGTCTATATACACATTGCAATAAACAATATGTCCAGTCCCCCTGTCACCTGCTATCTACCACATTGCAGTCTTTGGGGGGGGGGGGGGGACATTATTGCCACTATTTACCTGAATATAGATAGTATAACAATAAAGCTTACTTGACTTGAGCTGACTGGAACAGTCCCTGGGAGGGTTAAAATAACCCTAATGTATATTTTCCCAAATGATATTATTCTACGTTTATGAACTTAGAAGCAGTGAAGGATGGTGAAGCCTCTGCCCCAGTTCCAGCTTCAGATCCAGCACCAGCTGAAGCTGCAGCTCCACCAGAAGCTCCTGATCCATCCTTAGCCTCCACTGAAGCTCCGTGCCAGAATGGAACAAAGAGCCAAGGGGAAGCTGCAGGACACAATGGTGAGCTGACGCCACTGCACACTGCACACTGCACTGTCTTCTGCGTGTATCATCATGATTACAGTGACAGTTATTAACCAGCGAAGACGTCCCTTAGTGTTTGCTTATCATGCTCATTTAACAGTCTTTAGGCCCATTGTGTTCTCAAACAAAATGAATAATTTCCTCATAATGGAGAATATCCAGGTAAAAATGTTAGATTTAAATCATTTTTAATCTGTAATTGTATTCTTGCTAAATCACTGGCCCCATCTGCTGGATACCAGGCACGTGCGGGGAGGTGGGGAGGGGGGGGGGTTCTGGACGTGCCTGAGCACCTGCCCCCTTTGCCCAAACAATTGCCACCCCCCACCCCCTGAGCATCTGCCCCTCACAAAGCACCACTGGACAATGTAAATATATTTCAGGTTATTGCATCCTGTTGAGTGCTTGATTGTTAAACCAAACTCCATAACCCATGGCTTCCAGAATCAGATCTGGCTGAGAACCACCAGCCAGACACGCGGCAGGATCTGACAGGGCTCTTCTTGGAAAAGCCACAGAGCGGGGAGGTCACCGTGGGTGAGGCAGCTGTATTTGCTGTGGTCTCTCTAATGTATATTCAGAAAGGTTTAACAGGGTGCTATGGCGAGTGTGTAAAGGCTATTTCTGGATGAATGATAAGAACAAATGAAAGGCTAACTCAGAACTTACTATGGATGAAAGCTCTTAACTAGACAAACATAGAGTACACAATGCAATCATCCTTGATGTTCTTATCAATAGAGAACGGCCTTAATGAAGAAGATGTACTCTTTGTTGGGTTTGATTGTGCATGTATGTCAATGTACTATTGTGTGCAGGTGAAAATATAACATTTGTGGCCAAGGTGGGCTCAACCAACCTGCTGAAGAAGCCAACCATCCGCTGGTTTAAGGGCAAATGGATGGATCTGTCAAGCAAAATAGGGAAGCATCTGCAGCTGAAGGAGCAGTATGATCGCAACACGAAGGTCAGTGTCAATGGGCCATGAAGGTAGAAGGTTAGTGTCAATGGGCCATGAAGGTAGAAGGTCAGTGTCAATGGGCCATGAAGGTAGAAGGT